AGGCTGGGTGCTGACCTGTTTTGAAAATCTGAACCTCTTGTGGGTGTTAAGCCCTTCTGAAAATTCCAGCATTAACCGTTATCTCAGTTCCCCATCTTTAAAGTGGAGACTATTAATACCAATACCTCATTTGCCCAGTCTGTTTAGTTTATCTACTGAGCAGGGATTGTCTCATTTTATATATATAAAAACACAATGCCTAACACAAAGGCTTCAACCTCAGATGGGGTCTCTAGAAACCACTATAACAAGAGTAAAGACTTGGTTCCTATTTTTATTAATAGTATGTCCACTTAAACATCCATGGAACAGAGACTGAGCCCCTCTGTACTCCCATGAGACTTAAGTATTGTTTCTCCTTGCTTTGACATAATACTGCTGTGAGATGCTATCCCAGCAACTCAAGCCATGTTGCCACCTATGTAGCATTTTTACTCATGTTGTAGGGAAAAGGTACTTGTAAAGGTACTAAATTAGGTAAGAGAGGGGTTCAACCTGCACACACAAGGGATGACTTGGTCTTTGTTCTGTTTTTTAGCTTTTTAAAAAAAAATCAAAAATGAAACACAAATTAATTATTACTTTAATGTATCTAAGTTCAAATATACCAGGATTAAAAGGATAGTGCTGTTAGGCTCTTGAATATGAAAGTTCCAATTTTCTAACTGCCTGCTTTACAAACGCCACCTGGGCTCTGCAAACCGAGCAGGGTTCTAAAGACAGGCAATAACCAGAACTTTGCTGTCTAGTCTTTTGTTGATTCATAGGGCAGAATAGGATCTACTGAGCTCTTCCATACCTGCATGCTGAATACAGAGCGATGCCGTGTAAAAACCCTTTTGGGTCAGGTAGATATGAAGAACATGGCACGATTTTTACATCGTTTCTCTTAGTGTGCTCTCACTTAAAGGCTGCTGTTGAGGGTAGGTATTGATTAAATGAGTATTAAACCCAGAAAACATTTCAGCTTAAAAAAAAAACATTATTTAATGAACAGACAATGACTGTTTTGCTCACTTTGCACTTATTAGTTAAAGAGAAAGTGGTTACAAAGGGCCACTCTCCCATGGTAGCTGCCTGGCAATGGCAAATGTAAGGTGCCAGCCATGGCTGTTGTTCTGGAGAGCGTTGCAGGATGCCAGCAAGCGCATCTCTCATCTATGGGCAAGCACAGACCATGCTGAAGCTGGTGGGCATGCTAGCCACAGCTCATTCAGGGTAAGCAGAAGAAACAATTCAGTTCCTTTACAGAGTAGGATAGCTGAAATGCTAGAAGCCACTGCTCAAGACACTTGACCACGTGGGAAAAACCTGAGCAAGAACTCACACAGAGTAAAAGGGTTCAGAGTGGCAGCCGTGTTAGTCTGTATTAGCAAAAAGAATGAAGAGTACTTGTGCTACCTTAGAGACTAACAAATTTATTTGAGCATAAGCTTCCGTGGGCTACAGCCCACTTCTTCAGATGCATGCAATGGAAAATACAGTAGGAAGTTTATATATATATATAAAGTTTATATATATATAAATATATATACACACACACAAACACACAAAAAATACCAACTCTAATGAGACTAATCGATTAACGTGGGCTATTATCAGCAGGAGAAAAAACACTTTTGTAGTGATAATCAGGATGGCCCATTTTCAACAGTTGAGAAGAAGGTGTGAGTAACAGTAGGGGGGAAATTAGCATGGGGAAATAGTTTTTAGTTTGTGTAATGACCCATCCACTCCCAGTCTTTATTCAAGCCTAATTTAATGGTGTCCAGTCTGCAAATTAATTCCAGTTCTGCAGTTTCTCATTGAAGTCTGTTTTTTATTTTTGTTGTTGTTGAATAATTGCAACTGTTAGGTCTGTAATTGAGGGACCAGGGAGGCTGAAATGTTCTCCGACTGGTTTTTGAATGTTATAATTCTCGACGTCCGATTTGTGTCCATTTAAAAGGGTTTTCCCTGGGCATTGAAAAGGCCGTGGGCTGGGTGTTGATTGAGTGAATTGCAGCCACGTGCCTGTGTCAGAACACAAACTAATCAGAAATCCAGAGCATGGTAGCATGGCCTTCAGAGGGAACGGCATTGTTGGGGCACAGGACTGGCTGGAAAGCAGGCTTGGATTTCTGAACAACAAAGCTGCCATCCTGTTTCTACAGTGTTAGGGAACCAGGACTTCATGTACATTCTTTGTAAATAAACAGGACTGCACCACAGAAATACCTGCCTCATAGCATCAATTTCTTCTCCTAAAAGAAACAATCCGGCAAGGCCTTGAATTTCAGCTAACCCCTCAAGTGTCACCAAAGACAGGAGGTGGCTGCGTTGTGCATATTGCCTTTTCATTACTTTGGTGCAAGAGCATTCTTCTCTGCCGCTCCCGCCATCTCAAACAGCTGCTTGATTTTCCACCCTCCTATGGTTGTTAACTCGGTCTTTTCCGTATCTGAGAAGCACAAGGCCAGACAGTTTGCATGAAACAGTTTCTATCGTTATTACTGCTAGGAAAAACAAATAGTTGTAAAGAAAGCTTTTATAGAATCATAGAACTGCAGGACTGGAAGGGACCTCAAGAGGTAATCTAGTCCTTCCCCCACGCTGAGGCAGGACCAAGTAACCCTAGCCTATCCTGATAGGCGTTTGTCTAACCTGTTCTTAAAAACCTCTAGTGACAGGGATTCTACAACCTCCTTTGGAAGTCTATTCCAGGGCTTCACTGTCCTTATCATTGGAAAGTTTTCCTTAATATCTAACTTAACTCTCAGCTTGTTGCAGATGAAGCCCATTACCCCTTGTCCTACCATCAGTGGACAGGGAGAACAACTGATCACCACCCTCTTTATAACAGCCCTTAACATATTGAATACTGTTGTTACCAGATCCCCTTCAACCTTCTTTTCTCAAGACTAAATTAGGGTGACCAGATGTCCCGATTTTATAGGTACAGTCCTGATTTTTGGATCTTTTTCTTATATAGGCTCCTATTACCCCCCACCCCGTGTCCTGATTTTTCACAATTGCTGTCTGGTCACCCTAGACTAAACATACCCTAGTTTTTTTTTTTTAATCTTTACTCATAGGTCAGTCGAGCTTTTCATTTTCCTTGTATCTTGTTTGTTGCCCTCATCTAGACTCTCTCGTTTGTCCATATCCATATAAGGACACTCCTGTTAATACACCCCAGAATATTAGCTTTTTTCACAACTGTATTGCATTGTTTACTTGTATTCAATTTTTGATCCACTAGACCACCTATACCCTTTTCAGCAGTACGACCGCCTAGCCAGTTATTCCCCCTTTTGTAATTGTGCATTTGATTTTTCCTTCCTAAGTGAAGAACTTTGCACTTGTCCTGACTGAGTTTCATCTTGTTGCTTTCAGACCCATTCTCTAATTTCTCAAGGTCATTTTTAATTGTATTCCTGTCCTCCTAAGTGTTAGCAACCCCTTCCAGCTTGGTGTCACCTGCAAATTTTATAAGCATCCTCTCCTCTCCATAATCCAAGTCATTTCCAAAATACTGACCAGTACCAGACCCAGGCCAGACCTATGTAGCACCCCTCTAGATATGATCTCCCAGTTTGACAGGGAACCATTTATACCTACTCTTTGAGTAGGGTCTTTCAACCAGTTGTGCAGTCACTGTATAGTAATTGAATCTAGACCACATTTTCCTAGTTTGCTTATGGGAATATCATGAGGGACTGTGTCAAAAGCCTTCCTAAAATCAAGATATCACATCTACAGCTTCTCACCCATCCACTAGGCCATTAAGTTTGTCAAAGAATTAATTTAGGTTGGTTTGGCATGATCTGTTATTGACAAATCCACGTTGGCTATTATTTATAACCCCATTACAATCTAGGGGCTTACAAATTGACTAATAATTTGTTTGAGTGTTTTTCCAGATACCAAAGTTAGGATGACTGGTCTATAATTTCCCAGAGTACTCTTTGTTTCCCTGTTTAAAGACTGGAGAAAGGCTTACATAGCACCTATCATCCTGGACCACACATGTCCTCCATGAATTCTCAAACATAATCGCTAACAGTTCCAAGTGTTTCAGCTAGTTCCTAGAGTACCCTAGTGTGAATTTCATCAGGCCCTGGGGAATTGAATACATCTAACGTATCTAAATATTCTTTAACCTGTTCTCTCCCTATTTTGCCTTGTGTTCCTTACACCTTGTTGTTAATACTGTGTTAAGCATCTGATCATAATGAACCTTTTTAGTGAAGACTGAAGCAAATGAGGCATTACATTAAAGAACGTATGTTTCAGTTGTGTTCAGAGCGTCTTGATCTTTAACATCCAGGCAGTTATTCCACAATAGCATTTCACAAAAAGAATTATAGCAAAAAAACTGTCTTTGTTCAGTTATACATTTTTATTCTCTAATAGGTACAATACTAAAATAAACACAAATTAAAAAAAAGTTTTATTCAAACAAAACTGTACAAAAAAGCAGTTATACTACATTTTAATTACAGAACAGTCTACTGTCCAAAAGGCACTAATCCAGAATAGGAGATACAATGATACAGGACTCATTTTAACTATTTTAATCAATACAATAGAGCACTTGTTTCTCTGTCCATTCACATACAGAAACAAGGACTTTTGCTACAGTCATTACACATTGTTATAAATATGAGCCCTACGTATAAAGATGCAGTATCATTCTCCTTGTGGAAGAACTAATTCCAAAATTAAATGTTACTTTTTAAAAAATATATATAAGGGGCACAAAGGAAAAACCTAATAATACTTTGCACTTTTATAGTGCCTTCCATCTAAGGATCTCAAAGCACTTTACAAAAGTTACGTAAGTATTATTATCCCCATTTTGCAAATGGAGAAACTGAGGCACAGAAAGATTTGTCTGAAGGCCACACAAGAAAGTTGGTGGCAGAACTGGAATTAGAACCCAGATCAACTGACTCCTAGACCTGTCCTTTAGCAACAAGACCACACTTTCCCTTCCATAGGTCCTGCATGCTGTTCTATCTAACTCTGCTTTGACATTTCAGTCTCCCTGTACAGCAATCAATGTCACACTTTATAAATAACCTTCCCGCCACACCCAAAAGGGAAAGATTACTAGTTTTTCCTTTTAAACTGTAGCTGACAAATCCAAAACAATGAAAATCATGGGAGCACACTCCTGCAATGTATTGGAGATATTCAGCAATTTTTAAAAGCAGCTTTCAGAATATTATTTCTGTGTTGCAAGTGTATCAAGCGATAAATGGAGGTTTAGGGCCCTTTTTAATAAGAGGTACTACAGAATCCTTACAGCAATGGTCCAAAACATCTTACACTAGGGCAACAGTAGTGTTTGGGGTGATTAATAGAACGGTTAGTAATTTTCTTTTTTAAGGTGAAGTGGAGGGAGTTCCCACGTAAGAGGTTGCAGACATGCCTTCCACGAGAGCAAGAATACACTACAGCAGCACGTGCCAATGGAGAGCAAAGACTGGCTCTCTCTGAGGTCCCAGGTGGCCCATTCCTCAGATTACTATTTGGTGTTGCTGTCTGAGTTCACTCGCTTGTGGTGTAAGATTTTATTTCTCTAATTTTTTGAGCCTGATGACAACTTCCTAACAGAAAGATCCTCTCATTGGTCATCTTCCCTTCCAATCCTGCACTATTTGGTTCTCAAATACTGCAGGCTGAGGACCACCAGGAAAGATCCAATGGCCGTCCATGGAGCATGGTTGGAGGACTCCTGCTTGGAAAGCTCTCAATCCCTGCTAGATTCCACAACATTTACCGACTCCACTGGGAGGAATGGCACAATGAGATTTCGTCCCAGGTGTAGTCTCTTCCTACAGCATTTCCCATAGCCACTGTGGAGTATGTACCCTTTAATCTGGGCAAGTAGCCCTTGTTCAATAATTGACCTAGGCATATTGCAGGGGGTGGCGACACTGCCTGCATTACCACTGCTTTTCAGTGCTGAACGGCTTTAAAATATCTGATAATAGCTACTTGGTGGGAGAGAGATACTGCAGCTTTTAAACAGTGTCATACACAGATAAAGACAAAGACAGGCATCTGGATGTTAACAAAAATAAGTAACAAAGAAATATGATTAAACAAAATCTCTTCTCACATCATCCTATACTACATCCTCCTTCTGCTTAGCAGAAAATTGTACGTACACAAAAATACAAATACACAATTTTGTAGAACAGTCTGATTTTAATATATTTATATATATTTATATTTATATGAGTGGCAGGTTAGTTCATTATATAGAGCATTTTGCACTTTTGGCTCATATGCAACAAGGCTTATAAATTCAGCTTTAGCTTTCATTCAGGTTTTTATAGCTTTTTGAACAATTGTTTTCACATTTAAAGCAGCATCCAATTTGCAATAGGAGTTGGTGTCTACAGCAAGGATCAGGTCAAGAGGTTATTCGGGGGGAGGGAGAATATACATTCCAGTGTGTGTGTGCTAATGCTACGGTAAAAAAGACTCTGGATGTAGGACTACAGGACACCATGTTTACCTCTTGAGGTAGGCTGTTCACCTACAGCAGATGAGACACATGTGTGAAGGGAATACGGTGTAGGAATCAAACACACTAATGAGAGATGAAGGGATCTAGAAATTAACAGAGAAACACACACACAAAAGAAACTTGTCGGCGGGCTTATATTGACCAGCAAAGAAAGGAAGTAGCTCATCTTATGCATTTGGTGGACACATGAAGTAATTGTAGGTGACTGCCAGCCATCCAACACACACAGGATTACAACAACAGTCATGCTCGCTTGCCATTTCGTTAACACAACTGCAAGGTTGATTTAACACTCCACTCTCCCCCGAGTCAAAGTTACACTGGGACAAAATTAAGATGCAGAGAATTTGGAAATGAAAAAGGTAATTCCCTAGCACTTTGCTAGTTTTTTGCACATTCAAATCCAGTCAAATTAAAGGGAAAAAAACAGACTTTTTTTTTGGCCTCTGATACTGTTCCATTGGGCTTTTCCCCCCCCTTGTAGGTTTGCAACGCTCACTATTACATTCACCTCTTTTCAATTACAGTTATGGTAACTGACAATCTTGTTTTTTTAAAAAAAAAAGACATCTAGACATCAGGGTGATAGTACAATGCCAAACAGTCTGTGTGTGTTATAACGCCACAAATACTTTATTTTCATTAGTACCACTGCAATAGATTCCCCTTTGATCACTGCTTTATCAACACCCATTGTGATCCTACAAGTTAATTGTCTGTCTTCTGCAGCATAGATCTACTCATAGCTATCTTTGTCAATAGTAACTGCCCATAGCTTCCCAACTCATAGGCATTATTAAATTGCCAGAGTGAAAAAAAATTGTGTAATTAATGAAAAATAAAGCATCTACATACGGATGACTCCCATTTTCTGAATCCTTAAGTGGTACCAATAAATCCTAACAGTGCGGTTTTGTTATATGACTTGGATTTAGTATGGTCACAAAAAATAAGAAGTCTCCTTTCATGTGATTTTTTTCAAATCAGCATTTCAGATACTTTTTTTTTTTAAATCCATATAAAATTCTCAGAGATGTTTACAAAATTATAACAACCTGTGAATGGTTAAATGATTTTGATAAAACGTTGAGCAGCTATCACTATTATAAACTTAGACATAAGTGAGAACATAGAAGGAACCTGTCTCTTTGATTTTAAGAGAGGTGATTATATATGCACATTCATCACTCCTATCCAGGATCTCAGAGGTATGGTTACCCAGATATGAGTGATCAATATACACACAGTCACGTGGCTCCAGAATCCTAGAGGCAGTTTCCTATCATTTAGAAACAGAAACTTAATTCTACTCATGGCTCTGTTTCCAAATCAGAGATTATAAAGATTTGACTGAGAAACAGAAAATTCCTAAGAAGTTCTCTACGAATAAGGGGAGGGAAGGCAGAATGAGAAAGCAATGAGGATTTCTTTCTGGCCTGATTCTGCAGTTATTCCAGGCTCTGGATTCCCACTGAAGTCAATGAGAGATTTGCATGTGGAAGGACTGCAGGGAGGGGCCTTTCTTAGGAGGGAAATGGGGTCTAGTCCTATTCCTCCAGCTCACTCTAGAGTCCTGTTATTCACTTAGGCACTTTTTAAATTGACAGTCAAGAGAAGGTACTGCACACATTTCATACTTACTGGGCACTCATGATGAGCCTTGGAAAGATCATAAAGGTCCAGCGGGAGACAGCCAAGGCCATCTGTCAGGGAAAACAACACTCCTGGGCATGCAACTGACTGGAACGTGTCTCGCTTAGATAGAACTACTGTTCAAACTAAACCTACTTTCAATTTGTTAGTCCTGTATTAGCTTTAAGGTAAAAGCCTTTCCTGTATTGGTTCAGTGGGGTTGTGATATTCCGCCATGCTGCCCCGTGGAACCTGACATTTGACTCCCAATGAGGTTTCACAGCCTCCCAGCCTACAATGCAAGCCGTGGGCTCAGAACTTCCATTGGGAGTGCTCCCCAGTCACTCAGTAGCAACCTAGGAGGCTCTGTTGTTGATAGGCTTCACAATGACACTGCTAACATGACAGCTGGATTTCAAAGGAGTATGCGTGCATTCCTGTTCGTCCAGTTTGAAGCCCAAAGAACAATGAAACAGGAAACTGCTACTCTCAGAAAACGAAGCTGAGCTCTGATCTCAGATCAACTAGAAAGAGGTAGAATCTCCAGTTAAGAGTAAATCACAAGACAGTACGGGAATTTGAACATCAACCGAGAAATAAAGAGACGCTTCAAGGGATAACAGTCGAGATTGGGAAGCCAAACATTTGAACCTAATTTTTGTATCTTAGATCAACCTGCATACCCCCCACCTCCAAAAACCCCAAAGCCACCCTGACTGCAAAGACGGACAACAGCCCTAGAATCTGGGAGAGGCAAGGATCAGACTCACTATCAAGTCTTCGTGGACAAAGCTTTGCAGATCTATTTTATCCTGTTCACAGCTCATGCATCACAAGGATGGGCAATAGCAAACCAGTGTGCAAACCAAGAAAAACATTTGTAATTCGTGTAAGAGTTTCAAGCTTCAAGTATGAAAAGGAAAACAAAACCAAATGAAAATAATACCTTTAGCCCTGGTCCAAAACTTAGCACTGAGTTAGTTCATTCTGGAGGTCACTAGTGAAGAACCTACTGTAAATGACCTGAATTAACATGTTTTGGTTTTCTTTTTATGGTCAGAGGGTTGACTCTACAAAGGGTTTCATATTTATACTTCAGCATGGACAACATATCTGGACTTCAACTAGGCATTTGATACAGCACCATTTGATAAGGGAAAGTCTATCAATACGGTGACTTGGACAGACGCACTATTAAACAGATTAAAAACGGACTAATAGATATACTGCTCAAAGATCTGAGCGTAATAAAGTACCTGCACCAGAAACGGAGAAGGAAGGGAGGAACCAAATAAGAAGAGAGTAAGACTATGGGGGTGGGGGGAAGGGTGTAGCAAGCAATAAGTCAATACTAATACAAGAGGTTAAGTGAGGTAAGCAAGACTTTCACAACTATCAGGAGATGGTAAAAGACCAGCGAGGCAGCTCTCTCATTAATAAATGAAGGTGGTGAGATACCATATCATTTAACAGGACTGAGCTCCTAAGCTGTTTTCTTCAAATTGCATTTTAAATCACAAAGATACAGGACAAGTTAGGAAGCAATGAATACCTCGTAAATAGAGATTCTAGGAAAAGATGACATTACATGGAAAAACAGAACATAGACAGAAATCAGCAGATATGCAAGATAGGCATCCCCTGGGAATCTGTAATGAACTTACACCACCATCACTGGGAAAAAAAAGGGGGGGGGAGTTACGAAAGTTATGGAGAAGCGAGGGAGATTCAAGAGAACTGGTGGGGCAAAACAGTAATATGATGATCAACAACACTCCTCTCCAGCATGTTTGCCAACCACATAGTTAAATAATATAACATATAGTTAAAAAAGAATACCTGTGCACTGAGTATCACCAGCAATGACTACCATGAATTACATAAAGAACTAATCATACCAGACAAACCTGAGTACTTTAACTGTGTGCTAGAAATGCCTAATTAATTTGCTGGAAGGACTGCAGTAGGTGTAACATACCCGTAACTTCAAATATTTGATAGTGTCACGCTGGATCTTTACTGGCCCTCGAGGCCCAATCCTGCTCTTGCAAGCAGACGGACCAGATGATCAAAGAGGTGACTTCCAAGTCTAGATGATATTATTTTAGTCATGAACATGATATCTAGGATATAGAATTATTATGTAGCAGGTCATGCAGAAGTTTGCAATGGCACCCTATACTGATCAGTATCAAGTCCTGTTTTGTTAAGAGGCATCAACACCCACAGGGATCAAGAGACAAACAAAAACACAGATGGTCTGGGGAACCGGAGAGAGACTGTTTAGAAACTAATAAAAAGGAAATTACATTTAGGCTTATTCTTCCCCAGATTTACTACTTTATCTAAGCGTCAAAACTAAAATGGAAGAAAAATAGTTATTGACTCACAATGTTAAAAAAACTGGGTTTGCTGGCAAACAGAAAACTAGAATTGATTTCACAATATACTGAAACAACAAAAATCCAGTAACCACACTGGGTTGTACATGTCATGCGCTTCTGAAGATGAAAATTTAGTGCATATGGGATTCAATCATTTCCCCTTCTCTTTTAGTGGTTTAATACTCTCTTACAAAGTCGCTGGACTTTCGCAGCATCAGGCCAAATTTTGATTTTGCCAGAGTAAACCCAGAGCAGCTCCATTGCAATTTGGGCCATTACAGCCATTGCTATCTGTAATGTAAACCAATCCTGTCACTTCTTTGCACTTGGAGAAAACATGCATCTCTTAAAAAGAAGGTAATTCAAAATGTGCTAAAGAAGATCTGATTCAATGTTAATTTCAAAGATGTGGTCACAACATACAAAGGCAATGCCTCACCCCCTAGTTTAGGAAAAAATTCCTTAACGAGCTGATATTCCGGATCCCTGGCTCTGGTTAGCACTGGAGTGGTGTTTACAGCACCGTTGCTATAGTCCTGTCAAACTGATAGCAGCAACTTATCAGCAGACTTAAATAATAAGCATCTCCAATGTCAGATACGTCTTGTGGAATGTAACATGTGCCTATCGGGATATACTGGATGCAGAAGACGACTTATTTTCGCTTTTGCTCTGCTTGAATGATTCAATGGATAACTTTATAAGTAAATGTATTTTTTTTAAATCTCGAATGATGTCAAAACAGAGATCAGAAAGCCAAAGTTATCCTCTAAAAGAGGCACTAATTATAAATGTATGTTAGTTATGCTACATTTTGTCTCTTGACATAACATGGAAGACTTGAGTCAGGCAAGTCAGGAAAGAATCTAGGTAGTCTAGCAAACAATAGCAGCAAAATTAATGCCTAAAGTCTTGTATACATTATGATTCTCTACCAAAAATGTCCTGACATTCCTAGTGCCAGAACAGCACCACTGGAGATGGTGCTGTTGAGAGAACTAGCATCCAGAGATTTTTAGCCATCTTGTCAGGTAGGCCTGCTCTGAACAGCACTGGACAATCAGCCAGATTTACAAAGGTATTTAGGCACCTAAGGAAACAGAAAGGTATCTACTGGGATTTACAAGAGTGCCTAAGCTTCTGAGGCAAATCCCGCCAGACGCCTGTCTGTATCTTGAAGTGCCTTTGTAAATCTGGCCCAACGTGATGAAAATACCAGGGTGGCACTGGTGACAACAATGGTGAGAAATGTTAGCGGGGTGGAAATGCAGCATACAGCCCAGAGGTACTCAAGATGCATCACTAGATAATGTTTCTCTTGCATCAACTCCAAAAAGCACAATGGGGGAGTGTCTGTCGCGCCTTGTGATCAGTGGTTGACAGGATCCAGTGAGAACTTATGCAGTGACTTTGACATCAGCTGGGGTCACCACTATATATTCAGCTCTGTTACATGGTAGAACAGCAAGTGGAGGACAACTGAGTTACTGTTTGACATTAGAATCTATTTTGATATCTGAGGTATAACGTGAGCTAACTCAGATCACTTCTCCATGTTACTCACAACAGGCAGTCTAAGTGACATGCAGCTCAAAACTTGATGACAACTGCTGACAACATTCCCAGAATGAGAGAATACAACGAGATTACCTAGGAGCAACTAAGAGCTAGTTAGACTGTCCAGTCCAGGGCTTGGACAACAATACAAGCAGTATATTGCAATGACAGATTCAGGATGAAAGCAATGCCAGTATTAAGGTGTGAAATAAACTGGGTTCTCTGGGTTTCTAGCGATCCTTCGTTCAGAAAACGGAAAATAATTAAGCCATTGCATGCAATTTTTTTTTTCCCCAACCCAATGAGAAGCTATACAAATATGGCCAGGATAAAAGAGAGAGAAAAGCTTTGCATAGAAAACTAATCCCAGTTTTTGTCCAGCATTATAAGGAACAGGTCATTATTTTAGTTTACTAAGTAGCTGTTCCAAACATTGTTGAGCGCATTGGTACTAAAGGAAATTAGGGAATGGAAGATCTGCTGTTTTCAATCACACACAAGGACAGAAATCCTTTTAATTACAACCATGCCAATCTACATCTTCCTGAAGCAGCTAATTACATGTCAGGTGGACACCCAGTCATTCAAAACTGCCATTACACTTTTATGTATTCATTCTACCCACCCAATTACCATGGCTACAGTTTGAAAAGACTGAACAGAACCTTCATCTGATCACAACACATCAGTATGAATTACAACAGAGCACACCAGCTTACATTAAAAAGATAGAGAATGAAAATGGAAGAGAGAGCATTTGGCCAGATCATCTGAGTAAGAGATGTACTATATGTACACAAACATCAAAGATCCATTATACAGCTCACTAGGGCTCAATGGCATTAACGCACTCACACCTACTCTGTAGCATCTAAACCCCTGGCCTGAGTGCTTCAATGATTACTGGAAAGAACTGCAAAGAGAAAAGCTGTGTATTATCCATGGATTGTTATTGTTCAGACTGATGAAAACAAACTCAAGCGCCAATCTTGAAAAGGGGCACAAAAGTGAATAGCCATATTTCTCTCTAAACCCACTTCTCAATTTGTCAGCATGATTTAGCCCTTAGATACTATAGCAATGAGCACTCTAAGAACATTCTAGTTAGATTGGGTAAGAGAAATCCTGAAGAAATCAAATATATTTGGTTATTTTTCCTCATTAACACAAATTACAGTACGACCTGTATTTCCACACAAGAGAATGACAGAGAAGATGCTTAAGGACTATAACCCCATTGATAATACTTTTTTTGCGGTGTAGAAAACTACGTTTAAAACACTGTCACATCTGCTTAAAGTCCTTAGATGACCAAACCCAATCCTCTAATGCATTTCTCTCAAGAGAGAAAAATAAATTTGGTTTATCTGAAATTCTAATTTGTAGCTGCCACCTCTTTTTTCATTAGCATGGAATATCTTTAATTGGACAATTTAGCTACTGTAAATTAGACAATGCTAAATGAAACTAAGAGACAGGGGTTTCTGGTCATGCTTTTCAGTTTGCCAAAACGGTGTTGGCCAACAACTGATTCAAAATCCTGAGTAAATATCCTAGCTATTAAAAAAAAAGCACAGAAAGGAATGCTTTATTTGGAAATACATCTGCAATCCAGCTCCTTGGTACTCCTGATCAGTGCACTCACCTTCCGTTCAAGGGAATGATGAGTATGTCTTGGCTCAGTAAAACTGCAAAAGTTAGCTGGTGTCTATGCAGCCCCAATGAATTCAGCTGGAGGGCATTAAAAAACAGAAAAAGTCCTATACCCACAACAATGAATACATTTTGGTTGTGACATATAACTCATTTTTCAAGATACAACCTGCCAACACAGACCCACGTCAAGAGCGAAAATTGCTAAACCAAATAAAAAAATTATTACCTAAAAATGTGTGAAGATTGTAAGCAAATAATATTGTTAATGAAAAAAATTGCACTGAAGAGGGCAACAGCTACTGGAAATGAAGCCCTTTACTAAATATGAGCAAGGGAGTTTCTTCTGATGAGAAACCCAAAGTTTCTTGGTCACAATCTCACAAACTGTGACCAGAAGGAAGAGATAAATTACTTAGCTGATGAATAGTAAGCAATACTAAATTCACAATGTCCTGGTCAGGGGAAAGAAATGTTTCTAGCAAACATCACAACCATCAGAAATGAACTGACTTGAGGAAATTAGATGCAGCATTTTCCTCCATTCAAAACCCACAAGGGCAAACACCGTCATAGTGACCAGTTCCTGGGGTCCAAACCTCATAACTTAAGAGACTCAAACCAGATCTTGGACACAAATACTTATGAACTTAAGGGAGGAAGATGGGAATCTACACTTGGATCTCAATTCAAGCTACAATGGGAATCAAAATCCTGGATTAGTTAGGGGCAGTGTTGTTAAAATGTGCCCATCTAGTCATGAGAAAAGTCGTCTGAGTGGGGACCGGAAAACAGTCTTCAAGTTTTGCCATGTCCACTGAAGGTAGGACAAGAAGTAATGGGCTTAATCTGTAGCAAGGGAGAGTTAGGTTAGATATTAGGAAAATCTTTCCCGCTGTAAGGATAGTTAGATACTGGAACAGGTTACCAAGGGAGGCTGTGGAATCTCAGTTACTGGAGGTTTTTAAGAACAGGTGAGACAAACACCTTTCGGAGTGGTTGAGGTATACTTGGGTACTGCCTCCGTATGGGGCAAGGGACCCTAAAGATCCCTTTGAGCCCTAGATGTCTATGATTCTGTGACTGTACCCCAGCCAGCCAGTGGAATCCTGCTGCAATTACCAGATAGCTCTGTGTGACAAGACTAATTCGATTGCACGAGGTAAGCCAGCGTGAGGATAGAAAAGTACTCTAATAGAGAAGCTGAAAATCTTAGTGAAATCTTGATGTCCCTTTAAGACAGCAAGACAAAAAGATTTTGACCAGTTCGGATAGGAGCTGATCGTGTGCCATTCTACTTCTATAAAACTGGCGCACTACTGGGAGTAGGCCTACACTGCAAAGCAAACTCAGGGCTTGGGTTTGAGCAGCTATGCTCATTTGTAACCCCAGATTAGGAATTGTTGAACCCTGAGTCCCAACCTGGTGCTTCAGTGTCTACATTGTATTTTGTGGGCCCGAGCCCAACCACCCATATCTCAGACTTCCTACTGCCCTCCCATAATGTGTCTGCTCTAGTCCTTTGTTTGGGTGCAGTGTGGGAAAACATGATTGTTCACCAAACTTGACTGTCCAGAGGACAAAAAGTTGGGATTGTGGGATACTGTTGTCAGACTCCCAGAGCACGAATCCAGTGGGACTGCAGCTACACTGCAAAGCAATCGGGCTTGACCCCCTCGGTCCCAGCTTGACTCAGGCTAGGACCCTCCACCACCATAGGGTCCTGGGTCCGAACTCTGGATTAGAATGATTTGTGTGTAGACGGAAGGAGGGCAAAGCTTGAGCCTGAATTTGAACCCTGGGCTTACAGTGTAGACATATCCCATGATTTTACTAGCTTTACATGAGGAGTAAAATAGCAAAAATCTTGCCAGCCTGCATACGAAAGTGACACTTATAGATAATCTCATTAGCTATGCCAAACCTAAAAGATTCACAGCCACAATAGCGAGATGGTAGAAAGTCCAGTCAATGTATGCTAAAACCCTTCCCAAAAACTGTCCGTCCACCTACATAGATCGCCTGGGTGTTATGAAAACAGTGATCCATTAAACTCCACTATAGTCAATGGAATGAATTATTGAGAAATTCAATGAAGACTCATATAAGCATAATAGGTCATCACTGCAAATTATATTACAGATAGGTCTGAACCAAAACTATCAATCTAAATACCCCACGGTTTTGGAAAGCTGGATCCAGACTTTGCAGACAAGGCCCATCTCTTATAGGAGAATATTTTAATTAGGTAAAAATAAAACACAAACAAACGCCACTCACAATCATGCTAGGTCAACACGGAGTCGCTGGAAAACATGGGTCAACGTTAGAAACTCCCTTCTTGGTAAGAACACATTTATTGGAGCAGTGAAACTGTTGTACTCCAAGTACTTCGAAGATGTCTCTGCATCACCAGGGCATCAAAGAAAAATGCTGTCCATCTGCTGCTGTGTTAACTTATTATCTAAGGCATCCGTTGCAAAATATTTGGACATCGGTACCAAATTTAAATGAATATATTACACATAATAGTCCAGGAAAAGACACGGCCCGAACTACATGAGCAAAGAAAAAGGAGAGCAATGAAATAGCCAAAGATGAACAAATCGGAGGAGAAAGGCCTGATGCACAGTCAGGAGCCAGCCACAGGAAAACTCTGGGGAACGTCCTCAGAGAAGGGAACTCCATGGATGGAGTCCTGTACTGCATTGCACTCCCACAAGCTCCAATAATATCTAGGGATACATACCAAGGACAACCCAGCCAACCTCTCCTGCTCTGGATGATGGCAAAAAACGCTGGCTAAAGTATTATGAGCCATGAGATAACAATCTGGATTGAATTTGTCGATGTAACAGCAACCTGGAAGGAAGGAATCATCGATTCTTCAAACTCCATCCATGGAAGGAGTCGGTAACCATCCTATAACCAATTCAGCTTTTAGATCAATTTCGAGCAGAATCCAAGTGGGAGTGCTGCACAATAATTTAGCCTGGAGGTGAAGAAGATATGAATGTCCGTAACAAGTTCTGAACTGTCTCACCAGCATTGTCCTCGCCCTGAACGACAAGGCTGCAGAAGCCATTCCACAACGTCTTGAAAAGGTTTCCCTCAATGCAGTAGCTGAGAGTTATCTAATGAGGGCCTAGACCGGCTACCCCTCATCAAAACAAGTGTCTGTCAATCAAGAAACAGTCCACAGTGGGCTAAGGAGGGAGCTAGAGAGCTCAGTGTCATCAGGATATTGAGGATGGCTAAGGTCATATTCCTTGATCATATCTTCTGGGGGCCGTACGGGACCAAATAGAATGCAGATGAAGGGAGACAAACAGAACTATGTAGCACCTGGCTCGCCTAAGGCATTTCTTACCTACTGAATCAGTCTATGATCTTCCTCTGGTGGGGTGAAGACTGCTGCTTACCAGCAAGCTGCAATTTAGGACAGAAGACCCACTGATCACTAATTATACACAAGTTGTTCATCTGCTTATTCTTTTTGATGCGTTATGGGACACAGGAGCTGTAGGACTGTGCTAGACAGAGTGAAGGCCAGATTCAATCCATTCTTTTTAGTGGAGTTATTTCAAATTTACTCCAGTGCAGCAGAGATCAGGATCTGGCCTTTACTGTATGGGTGTTATTCTTCCTTAATTCTCTAAATAGATGTTTGTTTCAAAGAATGACTTTTTTAAGGTAAAAATATAAGCAATATTTATTTTGTAGGTGCAGCTGTCTATCAGTCTGATTCGATTCTTTAAAATGGAACAGCTAGAACAAACCCTGGTGGCAAACCAGCATAAAGAGGCCATCGATTATTAAAATCTCCTTGCAATAAATCGCGGTGGTTTCTTGTCAGCTGTGTGTGTGACTGTAGTATGAATAAGTAGGTAAAATTCCACTGAAGCTACAGTTTGCTGGATCATCCTGCGGTGCAAAAACATTCCCTCCCCCCCCGGCCCTTTGCTCGCTAGTACCAAAAGAGTCACACACACACACACACACACACACACACACACATATACACACCAAGAAAGAACACTGCAATGTGACTGAACCAATTTCGTTCTTTCCTGAGTCTATCCTGACGCTATTCATGAATTTGCCTACTCAAGAAATACAATAAAAAAGAAAAAGACAGCTCCATTCTGCTTCAGTGATCTACTGCTAAAGAAAGCACATACATTTCCCAATGAAATCCATAAATGAACGACTGGGCCAAGCCCTGCCTATATATCTTCAAAGTCACAGGGACAAAGAGGTGCCAACTCTGTGCCCTCTGTAAGCACAGAATCTCCCACATCTACCTAAACAGCTTTCACCGGATTAGCAGACAAAGATGATCTAGTTAGTCTTTACCTTAAGGGGGTTTAAGGCTGGCTAAAAACCTGCTGACGTGCCACAATTTCGTCTTTTTTTTTTTTCTTTCTTTCTTTTTCTAAGTGCTTGCAATTATATCTGATGGTTTCCAGTTGCAAACATCTTGCAAGGCTGGGGGAGGAGGAGAGGGGAAGGAATAAAAATGAAACAAGTCATAGTAACGTCCCTTCACCTTTAAAAATGAACAAAAGACAAAGGAAAGCCATGCTTCAAAACTAAGCCATCTTCCCCCTGAAACGATTTCTGTACAGCCGGGAGGATAACATGGAATGTAGTGGAAATGCTATGTAAATGCATTAATTTTTTCAAAGATATAATGCAGCCTAGCCCTCTAACGCATCCTATGCTGCTTCCAGTGAACAGTTTCCTCTTACCGGCAGCGACATATCACTTTTATCAGGATGCCAGAGATCACTTCCACACAATGCCAGCAGATGTAATTTTCTTAGATGCATACACAGTTCATCATTTAGATACTAGATGACAAGGTGATCACAGGGTGACTCTGTAATGCAGGTTTGTCGTTTGGTATTTTGAATTCTCAAATGATTAAAAAAAAGATTTATCAAATATAAATATCTTTAAGAAAAAAGTAACAAAAGTGCTACATATGATCAAGGAAAAACAATTCCGTTAGTTTCTGCTACTTAAAGTAGGTTTGCTTTACAAATATTACCACATCCATTATCAATATGGCTTCCCATTATTAATTAAATTGTCTGTAGCAGTATAGCTTTCTCACACCATAACAAGGACAGAGTAAAGAGAACACAAAAGCATTACACCCTATATCTCAAGGAGGAGATCTTCCTGCCTTTTAAGAAGTGTTCATATTTGGGTGAATATTTATGCCATGTTGATAACTAGCAGAAACTAGATACCAAAGTCCTCCAATAACCTTTCAGGCCTGTTAGGATTGCAGGCAGCAGTTACACAGACTTGTACAAACTCACCCATTTATTATCTTAATCCCTTTTTTGAAAACATTGCTTTTGAGAGGGGCTGGAGGGGGAAAAGGTGAGAGGAAGAACAAAAGGTAACGCAACTTCTATGATAGATCGATCGAGTCTCGACCTCTTCGGAGCAGGCACTGCTAGGCCTGCCAAATAATGAATAGTGGTTTTGAGAAGTGGACTGCCGTCCATTAGACATTCAGCTCATTTTTCATGTGATCCCAGGCTGGGCTTCTATCATGGTCCCAAAGGCAGAAGGCAGTATTTTATCCACTAAGCCATGCAGCTTGTGAGAGCAGAGGATGTCTGTGTTGAATGTGACATCAACCGAAATGTGTGAATATGTTTCCCATGGACATTCTCAGCGCAGTACCCAAAAGAAATAGATCAAGTCACTGTGTGACCAGTGAGGCACGGCTTATTGCAGCTGGAAATCACTTATTCCCAGGCTGAAGTGGGGTTTCTAGTGTTCTTTTTACTCTCTGTTGATACTCCCAATATGGTGTCCATCGACCCTGTGCTTCTACCCCAGCTTCCATCCTTTCAGTCTTGGAGGAGGAAAAGCGTACAGACTAGTTTTACATGATGTCTAAGGGTATCCAAGATTTTAAATGTAGCCTAAGACTTGGAACTGAGGGACTCTCTAAAATACCTGGAAGCACTTTCTTGGAATGCTAAGACAAAGCAGCAAGATTTTCGAGCCACTGGGGCTGGGAGAGGGAGGTTGGTTGGTTGACTGATTATTTACTGGGAATTAATACTGAGAGAGTATATGCAAAGGCTGAGGGCACCATGCCATCTTCACAGAACAAGACCCTAACAGCTAACTGACGTACAAGAAACTGCAAAGTTATACTGTAAGAAGAACACATATTAAGGACCGAGGAAAGTCTGCTAAGGTGCTACGTCTAAAACTAAGTTACTTCTTGTTTTGACCCTCCCCCTTCTTTGTATCAGTCGTCGTCTAGGGCCTCTGTCTTGATTTCGTTGGTTCCTTGCCGGGCCAATGCCAAGATGGTGTGGTTTACTGCTGCCATTTCCACGGCTAATGAAATGGGATCTTGGTGGTCACTATGGCTAGTGCTGTCATCCTGTGTATGCAGAAAGGAAAAAGATGAAGCGTTGTTAATTAGTGAGCATTCAGTCTGAGTGAAAGAGTTTTTAAAGTGAGCAGTGAACTAAGGGCCGCAAATTACACTTTTGCTAACTGGGTGGGATTGAAAAGAAACACGGATTCCCTTTAAGAAAATGTCATTCACTGGGCAAACACAGGTTCATGGAAATGGGCAGGGCCGGGCATGGAGATTCACGTTTATTTTCAATAGCTAAAACCTGGCTAATCGCGAGCGTAGTGCAGAATATATTAAATGATCAGGTAAGAGTGATTTTGTGTGAAATAGAAGTGACACATAGATACACATGGTCTATTTTATATAGGGATACACCCATAAACCATTCAGCACTAAACCAACTGCTGAAAATGTCCCAGACAGATAAAAAAGGTGGTGAAATGACCTCATGCAGGAACTGCCACAGCAGATCACACTGTCTAGCCAGCCATCCTGCTACATGCCACATCTCATTTAATTAAATAGTGAAAAACGGTGGGTTATAACTACTGCCTGAACTGCAACCTCCAACAGATCTGGAGGCTGTCACCATATTTTCCTATGGGGCTTTTTTCTAAACACTAAAAAGAAGCTTCTGGATTTGAACAGGACAACAGTTTAATGGTTCAGGATGTGTGGCTGCTGTGAAGTACGAAGAAGATGGGGAAACTTTGCTGCTATAGTTCTGCAGTGAAGATTTTTCTCAGCACTGAAATGTTTTAAGATCAACGAATGAGCAGGACTTCATTCCTCATACACACTGAAGCGTTCAGTTTTCTGAGCCTACATCAGGGTAGGGGCATGGTCTGAATATAGGTGTAACTCTGACACCCTTTGGTGGCTTGTTTCAGTGGGGATCAAACCTGGGACACGTTGATCTTCATGCATAAGCCTCTACTGCCTGAGCTCAAAAACACTTTTCAGAGAGCCAAGGTTGTAGCAAGCTCATCAATCGCTAGCTGGCCTAGCCACCACTAGAGGGCGACAGAGTGCCATACCGAGCAGCCATCGCTTACATAGGGATAAGTAGGGTCCTATCAAATTCACGGTCCATTTTGGTCAATTTCATGGTCATATGATTTTAAAAATCATAAATTTCATGATTTCAGCTATTTAAATCATAAATGTCATGGTGGTGTAATTGTAAGGGTCCTGACTCAAAAAGGAGTTCGGGGGGGGGAATCGCAAGGTGATTGTAGGAGGGGTTGCGGTACTGCTTCCCTTACTTCTGCGCTGCTGCTGCTGACGGCGCTGCCTTCAGAGCTGGGCAGCTGGAGAGCGGTGGCTGCGGGCCAAGAGCCCAGCTCTGAAGGCAGAGCGGCCGCCAGCAGCAGTGCAGAAGTAAGGATGGCACGGTATGGTATTGCCACCCTTACTTCTGTGCTGCTGCTGGCAGGGTGCCACTTTCAGAGCTGGGCGCCTGGCCAACAGCTGCCGCTCTCTGGATACCCAGCTCTGAAGGAAGAGCAGAAGTAAGGGTAGCAATACCATGACCCCCCCTAAAATAATCTTGCAACCCCCCCTGCAACTTCCCTTTGGGTCAGGACCCCCAATTTGAGAAACGCTGGTCTCCCCTGTGAAATCTGTATAGTATAGGGTAAAAGCCCACAAAAAAACAGATTTCATGGTCTGTGACGTGTTCTTCATGGCCACGAATTTGGTAGGGTCCTAGGAATAAGTCATAGTCATAGAGTTTAAGGCCAGAAGGGAACATCAAATCATCTATTCTGAGCTCCTGTACATCAATGACCACTAACACCACCCCGTACCCACACACTAAACCCAACCAAGTTCTAATCCTAAATCTAAAAACCAACTCTTTCTGGGATCTTGGGCAAAGCAAGCGTCAGCTTCTCCCTTTCTGAACTGGGGGTAAAAATACTTACTTACCTTACAGAGGTCTTGGGAGAATTAGTTAATATTTTTACAGCATTTTATAGAGCAAAAATGCTAAGTATTTTTGTCATTATTACATCAGGCCCATGATGATGAATTTGCAACAATATCATTTCTAAATCAAGATGGCAGGTGGTGATTGCTGGTGGGACAGAAATGCCAGTTTTCAGTCAACTCCTGAGGCTGTTTAACAGAATCTCTTAATTTGCCATGAATTTTGGGCCAGATGTTCAAAACCCCACATGCACATCAGACTTTTTGAATACCTGACTCTAAAAGTCAATTAAGTGAACTATGAGAAAGTGTAAAAAAAAAACCAAATCCCTCTGAAGTTGTATTAACTTTATGTTATTAACTTTAATGGTAATTGGATAAACTTTATGTTTTCAAGTTTTCTGGAGTCTGAATGATACTCTGAAACGCAGATTTTATGGTTTTAACGGCTGAATGGGTGTTAAATGGTCATCAGCAAAGCTTTCAACAGTAATGCATTTAACTTTTAATGCCTAATTATCCTTTACAGTGGAGTCCGGGCTAGATCATTGAGAACTGCAACATCTAAGGACTCTGAACAGAGAATTTTGATGCAATTAAGCAAATTATTTCTCTTTCAAAAAATATGTTGGATAATACAAAAATACAGAAAGAAAGAAATGGTTTGGAATTCTAAACAACGCGTCTGCTAAGCCATCAATTCCTCTATCTGACAGGCATGCAATTAAATGTGCTTGGCTGCAGTTTCAAAATATATCACACCAATTATTTAGGAGATTCTGACCTTGCACAGCCATACGGAGCAGAGCTCCACCAACTACTTCCAGAGATGGTCTATAAAAGGATCTTTGTCCTCCCCCAAAGAAACAGCAGCAGCTCCAAGGATGGTGGAAACAGAGCAGGCATACCAGCACCTCTCACCCAATCAATGTCCCACTGGACTTGGGCTGAGCCTACTGGGGTAGCTACTCCAGGATACTGGGCTCCCAGTAACCAGGTGATGAGATCTCCTACTTCCTTCCAGGGATGGCCTATTAAGAAAACCCCAACAAAACCCAGACACCTGGGTGTAGCAGCATGAACACAAGGAGCAAAGGAAGCAGAACCATCTAAGTGAACTGTTCAGCAAGGCCAATGATGTCAAGTGAATCTATCCAAAATGGACTTAGTCACCACTGACTCTGCAGGGGAAGATGGAGAAGGGGAGGTGGGATAAGAACATGAGTGCCTGTTGTCACAGGGAAGCATGTTTGTGCCCAACACACTGCAGAAATGGTTAAAGATCTGTACATCCTTTCTTGAAGGTTAACCACTGTACCAGTGCCAGAGATAAGAAGAGCTTGAATTAAGCATGGTGCGTAGCTTGAGTTAACACTGTCCTAGCATTTTTCAAACATTGTGTGTTGTGTGAATGGTGTCACTTGCTTGTTTGGAGCAGATCCTCCTGTCTTCTTCTACCTTCTCTGCTTCTCTGCCTCCCTCTGAACATCTTCCCTCCTCCTCCCCATTGCGTACTTGCCAAGTGTCCTGTTGTATGACAATAAATCCAAGTGGGTGAATACTGGTTTCTCACACATTCAATAGGGGAGCTGTGCTCTTCCACTTTCCCCATTAAAATTACATGAAAGAAAAAAAAAAAAGGACGTCTGACTCATGAGAGGTACAAGGCCCCTTGACGCTGAAGTGTCACATGCAGGGTCTCCCACTTGGGACCACGCAGCTCAGCTCAGATTCTTACCTGCTCTGAATAGTCATTCCCGTCGACGTCATCGCTATTGGAATGGCCTCCTGGACTCTGTACATCTATGCCATGGCTCTCCAGGATTGCTGCTTCTTCGAAAAAAGCAAATGGATCCCTAAATTATCTGATGCATTACCGGAATTAAAGACCATCCATATTTTAGGCATTTAAAGAAAGTGGACTAGCAAGGTCAACTCTTGACCTCCTCTCAAATACCCACAATTTGGGTGGGTGTTAAGTGTTCACTTCTGTTGCCCCCCCAAATTGTTTTCATTCTTAATGTCTAATAGTCAAACCTTCCTTCTTCCCCATCTAGTTTACAATGGACAGGGTCTCCCTTGTGTATGCAGTGTGCCTGTAGCCATGTCAGTCCCAGGATACGAGAGAGACAAGGTGAGCGAGGTAACATCTTTTATTGGACCAACTTCTGATGGTGAGGGAGACAAGGTTTCAAGCTACACAGAGCTCTTCTTCAGGTCTGAAGCTCGAAACCTTGGATAGTCTGCAGAACCAACACAGCTAAGTTTGTGAGCTGTATCCTGTTCCAGCTTGCGCATTGTCAACAGAATTGTTTACTATGTTCCAATCGGTTATGGCTCTGCAAACCCACTGACAGCAATAAGGTGGCACAGGGGTAACTGAAGGAAGAATTTGGCCTGCAGAATCCTTGGTACTGGTGATGGTATTGAGATGTAAAGAATCCATTTTGACTTTCAGATCTCAGTGGAATCTTACAGGGTTGGCATTAAGAAAAACACCACCATTTTGACTTGTAAAATGAGTACATTTGAGTTAGACATTACTGAGGCAAGAAACTTACAGACCCCTTTTTTAAAAATCACTTCCCTTTTCCCACTGGCACTTTTCAGAGTAGAACTGCACTTTAAAGGTTTTAAACTCAGTCCATTTTGAATTTCCCCTATCCCCAGTGCAGAAATCACTGCTTCTCTTGTTTCATTTGGGACATTCAATGGGACTGGGCCAATAATTTGGTGTTAGGGAAATATGAATCCTTCTATATTGATCAGATTCAGACTTAAAACAGAAATTAGGTCCTCTAGTGACATCCGATCACTGAGTCATTTTTCCTGTCCTACTACTGACATTTGTAAACTGAGTCCCCGATGATAGTTTAGAAACGTTGAGAGGGTGAAAGATTTATTTTAAAAAGTGCTTTAACGGACTATTAAAAATGCTTGGCGCTTCTAGCCATTTGCATTAATAGAATTCAATCTTATACTCTCCAGCTCCCTTGAGCTGGCCTATCTACTTAAGCCCTTCAGGTTGTCTGAAAGCAGGTTCTCTGATACATTACCGATATTGGCTCTTCTCTTGATTTCCTTTCTTCTGTTGGCAAACCAGTTGTACACTTTAAGGGAGGTAACTCGCTCCAAATCTGACAACTTTTTGCCTGTGAAAATATACAGTAGAAAGCACAGTTGTTTACAGGGTTTCACAGGTATGGATAGCACTTTGGAAATACATATAAGATCAGCAGATTCCCTGCCATGTGAAAAACCCTTGAAATTTAGAGCAGACAGCGTGGAGAGTGGAACTACATAAGAACAGCTCACAAATGAAACGCAGGGCTTTTCTTTGCAACTACAGCCAGCTCAGGCCTAAATGTGATAGAGAGCAAAGCTGCTCGTCCGATTCAGGAGACCAGGATTCAATTCACAGCTCTGCCACAGAATTTGTGTGTGACCTTGGGCAAGTCACTTCACTTCTCTGTGCCCCAATTCTCCATAGTAAAACAGGGATAATACATTCCTGCCTCATAGGGATAATGTGAAGCTAATTTGGTTACTGCGTCGGAGGTGCACAGGTAGTGAGTGCCATAGCAAAGCTAGTAAACATTAATAAGAGGTGAGATATGGGGATGGCAGAGATAAGATCTAGTAATAACAACTTATATAGCACTTTTCATCAGCTGATCTCAAAGTGCTTTAGAAAGGCACAAAGTGCTTTAGTGCTATCATTATCTCAATTTTACAGATGGGTAAACTGAGGCACAGAGCAGGGAAATGACTTACCCAGGGTCACCCAGCGGGTCAATGACAGAGCTGGGAATAGAACCCCAGTCTAGTGCTCTGTCCACTAGACTAGACTGCCTCCCTGCTAAGTTATAGTCAATAATGCTAAAATTGTCACATATGTTATGACGTCTTGTCCTAGCTTTTCTTTATTTCACCTTTGGGTTTATTACATTATTTTTAATTCCTGTAAACAAAAGTTGCAGAACGTGTTCTCAGCAAGGTTTGGGTATGTTCTACTATTTCAACTAAGCAAAGGCAGGTGGGCTCACTGCTTCAAACTTGGCATTATTACACCAGATGCCCACACTCCATTCCCAGGTAGGATTTCTCATCTCCTACCCTCACAGCAGCAGGAAGAACTGAGAAGATGCTGGGGGTGGGGTGGGGGGGAGCGGAAATGAGGTCCCCTAATTTAACACACACAACCTACAAGGAGGACTCATGTCTAGAAGCTACAGAGAAGCTTGGACACCAGGAGACCAGGGCTCCCTACTTTGCCAAGGATACACCATGTGATCGTAGGCAATTCACAACCTCTCTGTGGCTACATTTCTCCATCCTTCAAATGAGATCAGTAATAACAATAATGCCACATATCCACTTTTGTAGAGTAGGGTGACCAGACGTCCCGATAAAATCCCGCTTGTCCCGTGTCCCGACCAATGACTGGTCGGGACGCAACTTGTCCCGATATTTTGCAATCCATTTTTTTTTTGCTCCACCGGCGACCTCCCCGCCCCCCCCAATGTGTCCCAATATTTTCTTCCTCTCATTTGGTCACCCTATTGTAGAGGGCTTTGAGATCCTCAGATAAGAAGTGCACATATTTGTAAAAGTAACTAAAAATAATTGGCTTTAAAGAATGCAAATCTCTGAAATGTATTCCCTTTCCTATGGATACCCTACATGACCCTGTATATATGAAATGTTTTGATGCTCATCTTCATCTCTAGCTCTCTACTATTTTAATTAGTAGAAATGTATCTTTCAGACATACGTGTTTGGGTCCGAAGACTACATTAGCCCTCATGTTCATCCAAGTACGGCAGCTTGAATGACACGAGCCATATAGCGCTCTAGGAAAAACTTACTACTGGTTGAGAGCACTAAATTGTTAGTAACAGCCATAAAATGAGATTTGCTAAATTTAATTGCAGACTCCTTTGAAAAGAACAGTGCGATCAGGTCCTTACCTGGCTTTTGTATAACTGCATTACAGGCATTTGCAATTTCTTCTCTCTTTGCCTCATCAGGATATTGATTCTCATTGAAGTAACTGCAGGAAAAAAAAGGGTTTTCAGAAATCAAAGCATGGATGCACCAAAACAGCTTCACTAAAAGGTGTCAATGGCCAGTAAATGCACCGGTCTTAAAGGGACAATATAGACATATTAAGTTTTATGTTAAACAGTATGTGCATGTTTATGTATTACATGTGAACACACAGTTCCCCTTTAAAACCTTCTCAATTGCCTTAGATAACCAAATATCACCGCCGCACTTGCACCATTCCCTATAGCAAGTGAGTAGGTATAAGGAAATAGAAAATGCTGCAAATACCAAAGATACTATTGCAAAGTGAAACACTCATGGTAGGAAACCCCACAGTTAGTACTAAGGCACCTCTGCTTCTTTAATTAAGAACGTAAGAACGGCCATATTGGGTCAGACCAAAGGTCCATCTAGCCCAGTGTCCTGTCTTTCAACAGTGGCCAATGCCAGGTACCCCAGAGAGAATGAGCAGAACAGATAATCAAGTGATCCATCCCCATTACATGATAACATACTATTTTTTCCGCATGGCCCCAGGTTCATTCAGTGCATAATGTTCAACATTTATGTTGATTCTCGGGGTTCAGTAAGCATCTCCCATTTTCTCATTCACTACATGCCTACCTCCACACTGACCACCAAAATCTTCACATTTTACCAGGAAACACATAACTACAGCTGTTTTGAGTCATTACTGTGGGATAACGTAGTGGTTTTCTTACAAGTGGTCTGTGAGTGCATAACTATATAGTAATACTCTAAGAACTATGGATTAACTCTAGAGTGCACTTTTAAAATTGTATTTTTTATTTAATAATTGTAAACTTACTATGGGATAATAAGAGACTATTTTAATGTAACATTTTAGTGCTATAGCTTTTGATAATTATCATTTTACTATACCTATAGTTTTGCTATAAAAATTATAGTTTTACTATTAGAAATATTTTCCTTAGCCTTAAACTCAAACAAATTGATTTAAAACCTCTGAGCCCAATCAAACTCAAAGTCAATGGGGCCGATTCAGACCCTATATGCAGGGATCACTTCATTTCTTTTCAGTTTGCCTCCTAGGAATATATTTACAAAAGTAAAGGTCAGAATTACAAAAGTTCCCCAGTCAACTTGGTAATGGACTCTTACAATTGTTACTGTGTATTTAAGGGAACAAATGTTGCTTTTTATTTTTACCAAGAGACCATGTAGCAGTGGACTCATTAATGAGACATGCATGCGTGCACCCCACCACCCCATCTCTGTGTGCATCTACTCCCAGCATAACTTCATATAGTTGATATATCCTTATTTTTCAGCTAAAAGATGTTATACATAAATAAATGGACGAAACCAATTTAGGTTATCTTGTTAAAAGCATGATTTTGTTCCCTGTAATATTTTGGTTCCAAGCTACCTTTGAATAACTGCAGTTAACAGCACTCCCACGATTTCGCTTTGGAGATTATTCCACAGTTAAATCAACCTTATTGTAAGTACATTTTCGTAAATGTCCAGCCTGAACGTTCTTTTCTTGCATTCCATCCTGCTATTCGCCCTGTAATTTGTAGTTACAGCTATATGTACGGTCGGAATCCTGCTTGTGGGTTGCTATTCATTGATCAAGAGAAATTGCTCATTAGCACAGCAAGAAGCACTGTTAATGTGCATCCATTTGATTTGCTTGCTTAGAGAGCAACTGCAACCATTGAAATTACATTTTTAAGTGAGGGGCAGAATATAGAAGTTAGTGATTTGGGACCTAAATACCCTCTTTCTCACACACACACACACACACACACACACACACATCCACCCTTCTTCGTCTAGGTTTCCTGTGGAGAGTTTCTGCTACAGACTAAGACCCAGGTCTACATAGGCACCTAAATCCCAAACACAGCGACACAACTCCTAGTTTTAGGCTCCACCGAGATTCACAGAGCTCCTGCTTGGCGGCCACCTAATCCTGTAGGCAGCTAAACCTCACTCAGTGCCAAAATTTTTGCGCAGGTCTCCTAGGCGGCTATGTTTCTGCATCCAGAGATATGTACTGCTGCCTCAACTCCAGGCCAGCAGTTCCCCAACTAGGGGGCATGACCTCAAGTCGAGTTGCGCCATCAGCAGATGGGACTGTGGCAATCCCAAGTGTGCAGATGCCATTTTGCTCCACACAGAGTGACCTTGCAGGTATCGTGCATGCAAGGCCAGGCTGTGCAGAGGATGACATTTGGTAATGGCATCCTCCATGCTGTCTGGGCTCGCGGGAGGCTGAAAACGGGGTCATGCAGGCAGAAAGTTCAGGACTGCTGCTCTAGGTGTACGAATGCCTATTTCCTGCCTAACCCCAGCGTGACCCACAAAGCATGGGAAGACAGGCTTTGCCCACCTCTCTTGCCTGCGGGACCTGATCTGGTAGGTGAGTTCTGAGCATGCCCTTCGGACTGGGTTCCACTCAAAATCTGGCCAGAGGAGGAGACAGTAGTGGTGGCCCCATCATAACGCTTACCCCAGTGCACTCATCTGCAATGTGGGACACCCACGTTCAGTGCCTCCCCTGCCTGCCGTAGAGAAAAGGATTTGAACAGGGGTCTCCCACCTCTGAGGTGAGTGCCCTAATCACTGGGCTATGGGATCTGCTCATGTGGCGCTCCCTCAATCTCCCCCGTTGAATTTGTTCTACTTGGGATAAATCAGAGTCACTGGAGCAGGGGGACCAGACTCCGGTCTCCTCAGTCCCAGGAGAGTGCTTCTAACCACTAGAATACAGTGACATTCTCTCTCTCTCTGCCCCGATGTCTATTTAGGTATTTATCCAACAGGAGACACAGAGCGCCCCACATCAGAATAGCCCAGTGGGCTCTTTATTCAGAGGTAGGATTTAAACCCCTTCTCCCCAGAAGGGGAAATTAAACTCAGGTCTCCTACATCCCAAGGGAGTTCTTTAACCACTGGGCTAAAAGTGACAGGGGAGGCATCACTGCTGCTTCCTCCCATTCGGGGTTGAGTTAGGCTCATTCTCACACGAAACTGCTTAGGCACTAAGTCATCTGGCTCCAGGAGAGGGGCTCCAGGCTGTGGCTTGCAAGCAGAGAGATAGGGACCTCTCCGCAGCCCGGATTTAGGCACCGAACTTCGTGAGAGGGGCGGGGCTTTGACACACCCATCTTGTCTGCATGCAGCTAGCTTAGGCGGGGAGCCACCTAATGTGCTGGCTTTTGTGGATCCCGTTCTTAAAGCACCCATCTCTCTCCATTCATTGTCCAGGGAGCCTAGCTCAGCTTTGTAGATCCCACTGCGATGCTGAGTGTTGCAACTCTGAACTCCCTTTGAGGAGCCGGGCCTAAATCCTGAGAAACGACGCGCATCTACAATCCATACTATGCCTGATGCCATTCGGTCTTAAACCAGGGGAAGTTTGGCCACTGACTTCAAGGGAAGCAGACTTGGGCCCGTTGATTTCAATGGGAATTGCTGGTGTGCAGCACCTCTCAAACGTCTACGCAGGCAGCAACAGGGACTCTCCTAGAAGCATCAGCAAAGGCTGCAGGGCTTTCTTTGATTTGGCAACATTCCCAAGCCTGGAACCAATGTAATTTTTATTCTCTGAAATATACCATCGCTTGGATATACAGTACCATGGACCATTCAGCACAGAACTCTCATCCCTTACAAATTCCTGTCTGCAGGGATTGTGTTTTGTACAGGACTTTCTTGGAAAGGGGAATAACAAGGAAACAAAGCGTCAAGAAATGTATAATGAACTGTGTTAGACAAATGTATATTTAATAATGTCAGAGAAGCAGATATTATATATTCAGTAGTAATAAGAAAATGTCAAGGAATTTGTTGCTTCCTGTAAGTATCTTGCTGACACAGCTCTCAAAACACCGGTAAAACAACTTCAAAGGCTACAGGTTTGTGTCTTACCTACAGTCGATTTTTGGTCGGTGTAGATAACAGGGCCAAGCACACCTGACAAATGTGTGATTTATTAGCCAGATGCAGCTCTCCATAGTAAGACAGACTAGGGAGGATGGATACTGACTGGACAGGACTAGCCAACCAAGGGCACATGATGCAGACAAGTATGAATAAGACAACTGTTTTAAGAAATAATGGAATGGGTGAAAGCAATACAAAGACAGCTCATTATAAAAGATAGATAAGGAGGTACCAATCAGAGTTTTAGCAGGATAAATAAAAATGGATGAGTTAGAAGGATTTGGGGTTAGTTATTATATGTGTATTAAATATATTTAGAATCGAATGATTATAAATAAAGTAGTTTTAATCATGTGTGCCTGCTTGATATTACGAGACTAGGTATAAAGGACGTGTGTACAACAAAGGGGGCTGGAGGAGGAGGAACCAAGCAGGACCCCATCAGATAGACCAGCATGGACCTGATGATGACAAAAACAGCCTACCCATGCCCCAGGACTGATTGGTACTCTATCCTGCTCTAACTGTTTTACTTATGCTTGATTAAGTTGGTGATATAGTGTCCTAAAATTCTCTTATTAAAGCTTTAAACTAGCTTGGCTTAGTAATTGGGGTGGAAAAACACCCCCTTGAATGACAAAAGTTTTAACGACAAAAAGCGCTGGTGTGGATAGCGCTTCATTGGCAGGAGCCATACTCCTGTCGACGAAGCTACTACCCCTTGCTGGGGGGTGGTCTTATTGTGTTGCCAGGAGAGCTGTCTCCTGGTGACAAAGAGCGGCTACACTGCTTACCCTACAATGGCCCAGCTGCGCCGTTGTAAGGTGCACAGTGCAGACATCGCCGTAGACGCTGGGAGTTGCGTCCTAACTTTTAGGCACCCTGCTGCCTAGAGGAATTCACAACTGTGAGTTAGGCACCGAGGGTCCCTGTGCAACGCATGGAAAGAGGTAGGCGCCTAGGCAAGGGATTCACAGAAGCCAAGACACTGAGCGGGGAGCTGCCGAAGGCCCACACCCCAAAAGGAGTTAGGAGCCTGACTAGAGAGGGAGAATCCTGAGCAGAGGC